CAGAGAGATTGTTGAACAAGCTTTGAACCAGAAATCACAATATTTTTATACACAGATGTTTTTTTTTTCTTTTAACAAAAATATAATTCATCTGTTATTTTTGTTTTTGTATTCATATATTCATTTGGTATTTTTATCATATTCGGTGTTTTTTAAGAGTATGTTAATGCACGCTTTTATCAAAACTATATACGTTAAATTTATAATTAAAAGAAAAAAGAAATAATTAAAGGAAAAAGAATGACTCATTATGTCTAACAAGCCTTCTACATGTAGAAGAACTTCTGCATTTTATTCTTTCTCTTTCATGCCATGTCATTGTGTGTAGAGTCTAGACATTCACGGTTGGAGACATTTTTTATTGAACTTCTTCTACAATTCTAGAATTCACGGTCCATTGGAGATGCTCTTAGTTCTTACTAGAACTCCAAAACTGTATGTGGACCTTTAATTCAAAAATCGAATCACCATTCTCATGTTTTTATCGTTATCGTTATTATTATCTATTATATTTGAAATAGATATATTTTCTCTTTGAAATAGATATTCGTATATTGACAGCTTTTTCACCTCATTCACAATATAACCTATTTTCCGCACTACCGCTGAAAATTTGTGCAGGCAAAGAATTTCAAAGCAACAAGATAAAATTACTCAAATCCAAATCCTATAGCAAGCATCATTTATTTCCAGCTCTCTGCAAAAACACATGTTATTAATCCAACAAGCATGAACACATCAAATTACACTGTTAAAAGCACGCGTCGTTTAGGAGGCTGTCAACAAAAAAGCAGTAGGCAAATACACAGTGGCTCGCTATATACACTATTTACACAACTTTCAGAATATGTCCGAGTTTCAGGATACCCTAGTTAGCCCCAGCTTACAATATAAAATGTACACGACCAACAAGCATTTGTTTAATGCAAAACTGTAATTCATGGTCCACGGCCATCCGTAAGACACTGCTCCTATCTCTTCAGAAGCAGACCTAAGAACTCGGCAGTCCCTCGTTAATACTAATCCGACCCGCTTTCATTTCCGCTGAATCTTTTAACTCTCGGCAAGAAATCGTTCAATTTCAAATTGTTCAGCCACGCAAATGGAATCAATGGCTCTCCTGATCGTAACTTCACAAGATTCTGTCTGTAGGGTATCAAGATATTTCTAAGACCTGCATTTCCCCACCAAAATAAACCCATCACTCGAAATGCAAGAAATGTAATCAAGATTCAAGATCATTTCAAATTGTTGACAAAGAGAAAAAAACATATTTTACCTGAAATGCACATAAACTTGTAGAGACTAGCAACCTGAGGATCTCCTCTCGTGCTCATATGTGGCCTCTCCAGGCACTCCAAGAAAGCCATGTCAGCCTTGAGAAGCTCAGCTTGATCGTGTGTGTCATAACCTATATCATGACAATAGCAGCAAAAATCCAACCAATCAATTGGGCGTTTGTCCCACACGAGGGACCCACTGTCCTTACCGCTTGACCAGTTGGGCCCACAGTAGTGCCCATATCTTGGGAATAACTGTGACAGGAAGCCTCTTGGGCCTGTGTGCCATGGGACCTTCGAGACATAGGGCCGGAATCGTATGGCAGAGTATTGAGTGCAGGGCTGTGACCGTTTTTTCAGCTCTTTGTTAACAGTTTTTGGCAACCGAATGTTATATCCAGCACTCATAACCCAAGGAATAAATGAGAAAAGAGACCACCAATTATTCTCGATTTTTCCGTCAATCGTAGCATTATTTGTTGTGGGTGCCTCCACCAGGGTGCTGGATGACATGGCGGGTGATGTCACATCCTTGTTTGGATGGACTCCAAACCAACGGATGTATCTGTGAACTTGAAGATTCATCTAAGAGAATAGTTTTCGGTGGGTGTAAGCTTCGAGTTCCTAATTAATGGGACATGAAAGCTGCAATAAAATAAATACTTGATTAAGTACAAGTTCTCTAAAATCTAGTACAATGGTTCTTTTGCAAATCGAAGCTCATAAAAGGTGAGATGCGAGACATTCAGTTTTCTCTTCAAAATTGATTGGGAATTTCATAAGATAAAAATGCGAAGTTCAACACTCCATCCAGAAGAGGATAGGCTAGAGCAATGACCAAACACCATTTTTAAACCAGGCATATCGGAGAAGATAAATTCCTACTAGTGTAAGGAAAGGTGAATACACTGGATAATGAGCCAAATCAATTCTCCCATTACAACTCTGTTTTATGGATTAGCAGCATAAAACAATGAGTTCCGTACCAACTTCTCTCTGTTATACAAATATGGAAAAAAATCTATTTGAATACCAATGAGTTTTATAACTTGTTTTCTGGAAATCAAATTTAAAAATCAAAATTTCCGTTTGCCGAAGATTTACCAATAGTATACATCAGATTAATTTTGAGGATCACGTGAATTCCTTTTATTCCATCTCAAGAGTTTATACCAAACGTCAGTAGTAGTACTTCACTTCATCTTATCCACCATGGTCTTGAATTTTCCATACTCATATCTTTGATACAAGTACTACTTTCTGAACATTCACAGATCAAATACCAGAGTAAAACTATCCCGTTTTACCCTAAATCAAGCATACGCACACACTTGCGGCACACAAGCAAACATGAGAATTCATCACATATCAACACAGTTAGCTAATTGCTGTGCTCGAAAAGCAGTAAATTTAACCCAAAAAATATTAAATTAATAGTAATTTGAGCATCAAAAGGCGAGAAACAGTTGCCCTAACTGAATTTTCTTCAGAAGAAACACGAAGCAGAGGAATTATGTTTCAGTCCCAATGATGAGAGCTGATATGAAATCTGAAATCAACTGAAGAGCGAACTTCACACATGAGCTGAGCAAAACGATTGAAGTTACCTGAACTCTGTACCGTAGCTCTAAACGGATCACCGTCATCGCCGGATCGGAAAGAAGAAAACGACGGTGTGTCAGAGAAAGATTTCTGAAAGTTGAGTGGAGAGGATTTGATATAATAATAATAATAATGCGTGCTCATAAACAGTGTGTATAAGAATACGACCACAAAAATGGCAATCCGCAGTCCCCACCTACCTTTATTGAATTGGAAATGGAAATTACTTGCTTGTGGATCGTATCTCCTTGACACGTGGCATACGATTAGTGGGTAGCCCACTTGCAAATTAACAGTGAACTGCGGCATGTAAAATAACTTGACTAGTGTTTTGTGACCAAGACAACCCCGAGTCGACATGGAACCTGGTCGACCCGGGATGAACTGTTCGGGTGGGTTTTCCGATCGGGTAGTAAGAAATTCGGTCGACTCAGTTGTATAAGTATTAAAATTTCTATGTCTACACCAAGAGACAGATTTAGCTCATAAAATGAGTGGAGGTCAACTTGTTTTTATAAAACAAATATTCGTAACAAATTATAAATACAAAAAAGACATATTCATAGACATTGTTATGAGTTTTCTGTTGGAAAAAATACGCAGAATTTTTCATGAAGCCGGATCTATAAAAGTGAAATAAAAGCGAAAAATTGAACACACCAAATTTATAACGGAGTTCGGTCAATAATGTCTACGTCTCCGGACTACTGCAGATATTTTATTAGAAGAAAAGAAATACACTCGTGTTTAAGAAATACACTCGTGTTTACAAAACACTCTCAAACTCACTCACAACTCGCAACTCAAATACACATAGAAGCTAAAATTCTTGCTCACACCCTCTTTCTTCCTTTCCTCTCTTTTTGGATGTTGTTCTTGGTGTATTTGGTGTATTTTGTTAATCAGAATCCATATCTATTTATAGAGTGGAAGTGCACACTTTTTTCAATATTTTTGTGCTTAATTTTTCAACAAAAAATAAGCAGCCTGGTTGTTGCAAATCTTCAAGAATTGTGGCTGCCCATCTGTCAACATTGGTGGCTTAACAATCTCCCACTTGAGGATCTCCCACTTGAGAGTGATTTCAATCTGTTTTGTTGTATCTATTTTCTTTGGTTGAACTTCTTCCTCTTGACTCTGTATGCAATACAGAAGAGGTCGATGGTTCACCCGACTCTGAGTTGCTGGCACTTGTGTTATGTCGGTCCTTGTATATCGCTCTTTCATTAAAGATGACATCTCTGCTACGGATCATCTTTTTGTTTTCATCATCCCATATGTGGTAGCCAAACTCATCTTCACTATAACCAAGAAAAGTACATTTCTTTGATTTTGGATCAAGTTTGTTTCTACCTTGATCACTGATGTGCACATATGCAACACACCCGAAAACTCTAAGATGTGAGATTTTTACTTCTTTTCCGCTCCATACCTCTTCTGGTAACTTATGATCCAATGGTACCGATGGACTTCGATTGATCAAGTAAGTTGCTGTGTTGACTGCTTCTGCCCAGAACTACTTTGATAAGCCTGATTGCACACGCAAACTTCTGGCTTTTTCAATCAACGATCGATTCATACGCTCAGCTACACCATTGTGTTGGGGTGTACCAGGCACGGTTCTCACCATTCTGATCCCGTGCTCATAACAAAACTTCTTGAATCTGGTGGTTACATATTCACCACCATTGTCGGATCTGAGCTTCTTCATCTTCAAGCCTGTCTCATTTTTCACCATAGCTTTCCAAATCTTGAAAGCTTCAAATACTTCTGACTTGTGTTTCAGAAAGTAAACCAATATTTTTCTGGAGTGATCATCGATAAAAGTCACGAAGTATTGCTTTCCACCAACGGATGGGATAGTCGTTGGACCCCAAACATCATAGTGGATGAGCTCAAGCTTCTCCTTCTTTGGAGTTCTTCTACTTGTCTGAAAGCTTACTCTCGTCTGCTTTTTAAGTATACAATCTTCACACATGTCAATTTCTATTGACTAAAGATTTGGTAATTTTCCTTTTGAGTGCATGATCTTCATCCCATTTTCACTCATATGCCCAAGTCTTTGGTGCCATAGATTGGGATTTTCATTTGCTGCAACTGCAATCAGATGACATGCTCCTGTTGTCTTGTAAAAAGTACCACTCATTTTGCCTCGAGAAATTGTCATCGCACCCTTTGAAATCTTCCAATCATCACCATGGAAGATTGTCGTGTAGCCTTCACTGGCTAGCTGACCCACTGAGATTAAATTCTTCATCAGGTCGGGAATATGTCTAACATTTTTCAATTTCCATACAGACCCGCTCAGCTTGATTTTTATTGCACCTTTCCCTACAACCTCACATGATTGCTCATTACCAAGGTAAACTTTACAAAGATTTCCAGGAACATAATTTTCGAATAGTTCCTTCTGTGAGGTAGCATGAAAGGACGCTCTAGAGTCTAACACCGAAGACTCTTCTCTGTTCTCGAAAGAACATATCAGCATATCTCCTCCAGAGGCTGAAGCAATATTTGCCTCTTCTTTTGCCTCCTGATTCTTTGGTGCACTCTTGCACTGGTTTCTGTAGTGCCTGGTCTTCCCACAATTCCAGCACTCGATCGACTTCAAGTTTTGGGAACTACGATGATTCCTGGACTTGGATCTTCTTCCCTTTGATTTGTAGAGGTCGATAGTTCACCCGACTCTCTTCGTCGGATCTCTTCACTGAGAATCAAATTTTGGACATCATCAAATCTCAACTTATTGCTTCCCGATGAGCTACTCACAGCTGTGACCGTAGCATTCCAACTTTCTAGTAGGGAAGACAAAAGTATTAAATTCCGTACTTCATCATCTAACTCGATCCCAACTGAACTCAACTGGGTTGTAACAGTATTGAGCTCATTGAGATGGCGTGCCGCCGGAGCACCTTCGGTCATACGAAGGTTGAACAATCGCCTCATCAAATGAACTTTATTTGAGGCTGATGGTTTCACGTACATTTTGGAAAGAGCCTTCATGAGGCATGTTGTCGTCTTTTCTTTTGCAATGTTTAAAACAACATTACGGGACAACGTCAGTCGAATGGCTTAAGGGCTTGTCTGTCAAGGAAACTCCATTCTTCCTCCTTTATGTCCTCTGGCTTCTTTCTTGTGAGTGGTTGATACATATTCTTCTAGTACAGAAAATCCTTGATTTGCATCTTCCAAAAGCCAAAGTCCGCACCATCGAACTTTTCAATATTTATTTTTCCTTCGTCTGCAGCCATCACTTCGACTCTGATCTGACTTCTCTGCCGGATCGTTTCTGATAATTTTCGGTAGATAAATTTGTAGCAACGACAAAATTAGCACTATTCACATTTTTCACAATTCTCGGAATAGTAAGACCACACAAAAATTACAAAATTAACAATCTAGCTCTGATACCAGTTATTGGGAAAAATACGGTGAATTGTCAATGAAGTCGGATCTATAAAGTGAAATAAAAGCGAAAATTGGACACACCAAATTGATAACGGAGTTCGGCAAATAATTCCTACGTCTCCGGACTACTGCATATATTTTATTAGGAGAAAAGAAATACACTCGTGTTTACAAAACACTCTCAAACTCACTAAGCAGCCTGGCTGCTGCAAATTTTCAAGAATTGTAGCTGCCCATCTGTCAACATTGGTGGCTTAACATTTTCATAACTTGGTATAACTCTACAATAAGGTCTTTACATTTTCTTTCGGTCTAACAATATTACAATTCAACTCAAGTATATTTGGAATAAAAGTAGCTAATTTTGAAATATTTTCAAATGCACTTTTTTGTCGATGCTACTTATAAAAATATTTCTCCATAATTTGATACAAAAAAAAAATTACAATTTATAAAATGCTTTATTTAATACTCCCTCCTATTTTTATTATTTGTCATCCTAGCTTAATTGATCATTTGTTAAATAAATGTCGTTTTGGCTATTTTGTACATATTTTCTATTATTACCCTCATCTAACTAATAAATACACTACGTCTTTTCATATTCACTCTCCATCTTTTCTCAAAACATCAATCTCTATCCTCATTAATGAGGGTTATTATTGGCAAAAAAATATTCTTAATTATTGTGCAACTTCTCAAAACGACATTTATTAAAAATATGAGGGAGTATATCAAACTTTTAAGAGCCCTACAAGTTATCAATCACACCAATTTAAATATGTTAATAGCCTGTTAAGAAACAACATTCAATTAACTACAAATTTAAATTTTATATTTTTATTCCAAATCTCCAAAAAGAATGATTATATTTACTTTCAACAAAATCAACAAAAACAGTGATTTCTTTTTCCCATTATCTCTTTTGTCCTTTCTTTGTACTCCCATTTTTTTTTATTTATTTATGAATTTAGTGGTGTATTAAATTATTTTTTAATAGGGTATATAAGATAGTATTTTTTTTCTTTCCAGTGTGGACCTAGGCCCACACTGGCCCTTATAAGGCTACGCCATTGCCTACACCGGTATTGATATGGCCGGGTCAAATAAAATTATGTACATATATATTTCTCCCTTTTTGTTTTTGAAAAATATATATATATATTTATGTGATAATAGTTATGATAAAATATAATATTATTGAGACTTTAGGGTCTAAAATTGACATAAAATAATTTACTTTTATTATTTTATGTATTGTTATACGGTAAAAATATTATAAATATAATTTAAATTTTATAAAATCAATTACTCGATTTATCAATTTTCCTAATGATCCGGCAACTGGATCAGTGACTCGAAGTCCAGCCCGGGTCAATCATCGTTCGTGTTTTATATGAATTATGAAGCATCCAACTAAATATATGTACATGGATATACATCGGGCTATTATATAGGATTGATAGATCCATTTAATTTACATATGTAAAAACCAGACATAGTTTTGCACAAAATGATTACACATAAAATTGCAAAATACCAGACAGATGATAGTTACTTAGTTTATGAAAAAAACTTCATATATTTCCGGCTAATTAGTTGTTGAATTTACTCATATGTGTCATTGTGACATAATGTCACTGGGTAAAGTACAATAGATCTCTCCTATTCGGTTCAGAGAGCCACTTACATACGTTTAAGTTCAACACAGGAAGTCGAGAAAAGTGTTGCAGTTAGAATTCACGTTACCATTGAAATATATCATTATAAGATAAGCAGAACAATTTACAGAAAAGATGCTAATGCAAATTGTACCATTTTTCAAGGAAATTTTGGTAACGTACTCTGCAACAAACTGTAATTCATGCTAACAGAATTCATCAACCTACTGATATTTTAGAGCCAAATAAATTCATACAAATGCTGCAAACTTTGAATCGACGAAACTTCAAATACAGCATGACAAACGGCAACCAGACAGTTGTGCTAATTCACTGATAATCAGTGTCGTATATTCTAACAAAACTTCTGTGATAACCATAATCCCACAGCCCCAGTTTCCTAATGTAATTACATTCTTGATATNATGATTAAAGCCAAGGAGGAGAAGACAGTTTATAAGGAAAATCTTCGGGTGCAACAGACCCATAGTTTAAATCCAAGTTGTGGAGTTGTTCCATCAACTGGGACCTTCTTTCCTTAAAGAAGTCCAGACGAGTCGTCAGTTCTACTAAAGTCGAGGATGGATGCCGAGGAGGATATTCCATCACCTATGCCCAAGTATTCAAATTTTCGCATTAAAAATGTCTGGCTTAGGAATCAAGAAAGAAATTTTAAAACTGAACATTGAACAAGTATGGGTCTCTCTCCTTCCCTCTGTACACTTAACTTCTGAAAACGGAATATTTCTTTCTGTACTTTTTTTTTTTCACGGCATTAGGGCTTTTGGCTTGTCATTGGTACAAAAAATGCATGTAAAATTTTGTTCTTACCTCGGCCATCCTAGAAGTGGAAGGTACAGACGCAGGTTCTAGTAGATTCTCGATGGGTACACTCTTGGACGAATCAAAAGAATCAACTAAATTTGTTGACTCCATGAACTGATTCCGAGAAGGCTGCCGGCTATGCCTCCCAGATGTCGACACCTGTCCTTTACTATTTCTTGGGTCTGGCCCCAACATATCCTACGAGAACCATTTAAGAACTGAATTAGCAGAGTGACATTTGATGACATTGGAACAAATCAAATTCTGATAGTAAAAAAAAAAAAAAAGACAATTGAAAACGAGACAGAAAAAATTATAAAAGGGGCAATCACCTCGGTTCTTTGTTTTCTTTCTTGGTTACAAACAGCAAGTGTCGAGTCAAAATCTTGCTGCAAATATTTCCTGCATGCATATATGAAGAGCCACAATTTACTAACTTGGTAGTTCAGATTTATCTCAAGAAATCAAATGTTCAATCAGATTGTATACTGCGTATAATATGGTACACCATTAGATATAAGAAACACAGTATGTTGAAATTTTCAGATGTATCAATATGTTTAAGTTCCTGAAAAAATATCTACTACCTCCTATTCTTTTTAAATGTCATTTTGGTTTTATCAACCATTAACCAAATAAATGACATTTTGGATCTTTTGTACATATTTTTCTATTATTACCCTCATTTAGGTAATAAATACACTACGCCTTTTCATATTCACTCTTCACCTTTTCTCAAAACATCCATCTCTATCTTCAATAATGAGGTTATTATTGGCAAAAAAAAAATCTTAATTACTGTGCAACTTCTCAAAATGACACTTATTATGAATAGGAGGGAGTATTAAGTAAAAACTCCTATAGAAGGTACGAAACAATCATAAAACGAAGTTAAGGCAATAAATTTAGCTTGAAATAACTCCAAATATCAGGCACGCTCCAAGTAGTTCTATCAGTTGATCTCAATTACTTAGGTGCTATAAAAACATAAAATGAATGTAAAATCAAATTAAAATGGGGGTCGGACTAACTGCTGTGAATTTTGATTTTGGGTTGAATCTGGAAGTGGCACATAGTGATGCTGACGTTGTTGATTTAGCTGATGGTGCAGCTCGGCAACTTTCTGCTTCAATCTGGCCACATCTGCCTCTGCAAGAGCTATCTCCTCAAGCTCGGCTCTCGTCTTCGTAAAAAGTTTAAATATTTCATCAACAACATCACGTAAAGGCTTGGTTATGATTATACACTTATATATGTGAAGGAATTGAGACAGACCTTAGAATCCATGCCACGAGATCCGGAAAACTGACCAGAAGACATGCTTAAGCCAACTTCAAGAGCAGCTCGAAGGTCTCTTTCGGCTAGTAACTGTTCTTGCAGTCTCACCACCTATGAAAGAGAAGATGCGAAGAAAGTCAGTAAATTAACATGTCAGACCAAGACATGCAATTTCATGCAAATTTCATGTAAATTTCATGTATCATACCAATGAACTCAATTTGATTGACAGAAACTTACATCTTGTTCGAGTGACAACCTCCGCTCATGCAGAGCTTGCTTTCTTCTCTCCAAGCTAGCTTGCAGAATTGCATTTCCTCTTGCCTACCAAGATGGAAAGTTGAATGTTATAACAAAACAAACACTACCTATGAGCATTATAGAAATCATGAACAGTTTCCAAAAAAGCTAGTAATTACTTCTTTTGCAATCCTTTGACGCAAATCATTCTTGGCAATCTCCAATCTCTGAACAGCAAGCCTATAAAATGATATCAGTGAGCTTCAGTAGAATGTTCGGAAATAGCAAAATAAATTTGGCATGCATACATCAACAACTATGCTATCATAATGGGTGTATTTTGAGAGGCCGAGGGGGGATGGTGGAAGGTGTATGATATATAGAGGATTATTTGTAATTCAACATAAATAAACCAGTAAAAGGATTATCATAGAAATGTTAGGCAAATCATAAGGACAGATCACTTAGATAATTGTGAGACTTGTCATATTATTTCTATGATTTTATCGACATGATGGGCTAGCGATTGCTCCTTTGTATCTTAAATAGAAATTTCATTAAGAAAACATCTGGAGATTCTTCGACCACAGGTTCTCAAGGACAATTAAGTGTGGGGAACCAACTATTATAAGTAAAGGTAAATAAGAAAGGCAGAAAGGAAGTTTTTTAAATGGATCCGAGGTGCTCAGGGATGTTGTGTGGCATAGAAATTCAAGAGCATAAAGCAGAAAGAGAACTAATCAGTAGACCAGAAAGCAATAGGATGCTTGGATACAAAACTTATCCAAAAAATCCAAACACTTTTAACTTAACCACTTTTTTTAACTCAACTTTAACTCAACCCAACTAATATTAATATTATTAATATAATTAAATAATATCAACCAATCATTCTTACACATCACATCAACCTTAATTCACTATTCATCCTCTCACATAATTTTAACTAACCAACACTTCAAATCATTTCTCTCATACTTTTACATTAAATCAATTTTAATTATTTTATTTTAAATATTATTTTAATATACCACTAACTAACCATACCACCTTTTTCAAAATTAACCAAACCAAACCAAAAAAATCCTAACAAATCCAAAAATTTTTATATCCAAGCATTAAATGTGTTAGAAGGTAATCTTACTCTTCCTCCCCAGAGAAATCAATTGATTCTGTTGAAGGAGTTTTTCTGGCCTGAAAAAAAAAAAAATAATAATAAAAAGAAAAAGAAAGAGAGTGAATCAAAAGATAAAATGGATAACTAACCAAACAACTCTAGAAAAATTTGCAACATATTAAAAGCTAAATAGCAAAATAAGTAAAAACTGACGGAGAAAATTTCAATTAGCAACAAGGATTTCGGAATATGCATGCTTGGAATGGACAATACTATTGTAGTTCTATAATCAATAATCATATAATACTTCATCATGTTAAACTAAACCCATTCCATGGCCACCATTGAAGAAAACAGGTAACACAGGTAGAATAAAAATCATGAAACAAAATACTAATAAAATATAATCTCTACTCTAGATTATGGTTCTTCTCGACCTACCAAAATTATACATCAGGACTAACAAACTGGAAAACATGATAGAACTTACGAATATTCATGCAATAAATCTGCAACATTTGTGTTCAAGTGCTTCAGGATAGGAATGCCTACAGAGATTCTAGATATTGCACCACATACAAACTAGAGCAGAGGTAAAGAAAGAAGTAGTAGTGCATTTCTACAGTTCCAAAGACTAGGGAAGTGGAAACATAAGTTTCACCAAAAGTGCTCGAGTGTGTAGACATCCGTGCAGTCGCCTTCACAAGAAGAGATTGATTGACTAAGCAGACAACTGACGGTAAAACAAACATGATTATTGTCACATCTTTGGCTAATAGCAGAAATTTTCACAAATAAGGTACGACATAAGAACTATACTTTCATCCAAACCTAGATATATTACAATTTAACTATGATTAGTCCTTAAATAAGCATAATTCTTAACTCAATTACACACAATCGCAATTTTATAAATAATAAGTCTATTTTCCTACAATAAATTAAAATGTCTCATTTCCCTTCATCCTCCATTTCAACTTTGACGAGTTTCAAATAACAAAACGAACACTTACTTTTCTCTTTCCCCAAAATCTCGATTTCTTGCCACTCGGATTAGGATTCCTAAGTTTAGGCATTGGTGTATCTGGCAATAATTCCGTTCCAAGAATAGACTGGTGTAGCTCATGATCGATAGAAGACAAAAGATCCCCCATGGATCGCTGTGACTCATTACCAAGCACTTCAGCAGAAGCATCAGTCATACTATCACTTGCCCTTTTTTGATGGTCGAGTGGCTCATTAGCTGATATAGAATAACTAAGGGGTCCAGATTCCAAATTTGCTTTCATTGTTGCCAAAGTACTACTGTTAGTGGGGGATCCATCATCTGAAGCATCATTCCGAACGGCCTGATATTATAAATGCAAACTATAAAATTTTAGCAATAAGCTTTTGGAAAGAGCACATTTAGGCAAGACGTGTTAAGGGTGTGATTGGATATAAACTTGACCAATAAAAAACCAATCAAAACTCAAATTTAACTCAACCCCACTATACTCAATATTATCAATATAATTAAATAATATCAACCAATCATTCTTACACATCACATCAGTTTTAATTCACTATTCACCCTCTCACATAATTTTAACTAACCATCACTTCCAATCATTTTTCTCCTACTTTTACATCAAATCAATTTTAATTATTTTATTTTAAATATTATTTTAATTTAAACTTAAATTCCCACTAATAATTAACCATACCACCTTTTCGAAAATTAACTATGGTTAACAAAAAAAAACCAATCAAATCCATATCCAATCACACCCTAAGTTACTCTTAGCAGAAATGTAGACCATTACAATTGTTACAACTAAAATAGGTTCCATCAAGATGTTACAGAAATCAAAATTAGTTGAAGAATCAACAAGTGTATCCTATTAGTTCTCAGTCGATAAATTCCCAGTTCTATATGAACCTGAACACACAGACACAGACAAGCAGGGAGAGAGAGAACCTTATAGTCATACAGATCAATGGCAGCAGAGCCACTACTTTCACTTAACCTCCCACTGAGCCTGCGATCACGATCAATGTCTGCTTCAGGGTCAACTTCATTTTCAGCATCATGATAACCATTGATCTTCACGCCAGGGTGTTCTTCATCACTTGTATGTTCACTTCCACTGGAATTGGCTTGAGAATGAACCGAGATGGAATATCTGCGGATATTGTTGACCTGAAAAGAAATCAAAGTGTTCAGTGAACCACACTCCCGAAACTTCTGAAAGTGCTTCACGCAGATTTAGGAAGCGTATGCAAACTTGAAATAAGAAAATGGTGATCAGCTACGATCTTGAAAATATTCAGTTTTTCCCCATCTAATAGCTGATACAACTTCCTTTCAGAGCTTGCATAACACTTAATTGCATCATACAATAGATTGTCCAAGTAACTATAAATTCTAGCTGAATAATAAAGGAACAACCAATAGCTATGCACACAAACTTAGGGAACAAAACAGAAAGCATTCAAAAGTAATTATGTTAATAGAAATAAGGCAGAGAAAATGAAAGCGGAAAATTTCAGCCAGTATCTCTATCAATGTAGAAACTAAGAAGTATCTATAACATACATCAAAAATATTATCATACTCCTCAAGCAGAAACGTAATAATTGCTTGAGCATTATTAGCAGCATTGGCAGCAGCTAGAAGCTGAGCAGAATTATCTCCATTGGTATCATAATCGTCCTCTAATTCACATTCACCAGCCACAAGAGGCCGCAAGAGCAATGGAGCCATGCAAGCAGCAATTGCTGATGAAGACATCCGATTATCAGAAGCATGGAAGGAAACTACATGCATCATCTTAAGAACTCTGCAAACATAGAACACGAGAAGATGGGAATTAAACAATAAACATTATGTGTCATACTAACACAACATACTAAATCAACACAAAATTTCATGTTATAGCAAAAAGCAAATTTCACATTTGACGTATAAATGCATATAAACTGATCCTGCAGCACCTTAGGATGCAACAAAAAGTCTGATTAACATAAGATATATTTTTCTCAAAGTTGCAGTGTATGAGACGCCAATGATAATTCCTAATAGCTGATTGAACCTTCTGCCACAACAGTAAAAGAGTGGAGAGAAATTCTTTTTCCCCTCACGTTTTCACGTTCAAAAACAAAGTGTAAATGACTGACCGGACAAAAGAGTTATTTGTGAAAAGCACCTCATATCAAAGACTAATCAATATTCGCATCCTCAATTTTTTTTCTCTGTTTATGGAGAAGCTTAAATTTTCCTACCAAACAGTAAACAGTTCATTATCATTAGTGAAAGATGTCATTAGTGAAAGATGCAGAATCTTCGATCTGTTAACTATATCAAGGCCCATAAGACCCATTTAGTACATGAAGAATTTCACATCAAAGGAAATCATCTATTCAAAACCCCAGGTTTGTAACATGGTATCAAAGGAAACAAATAAGTTTTTTTCTTTTTCTTTTTCTTCAAGTCTCACCACCCACACCAATCACCTAGCCGCCCCGGAATTGACTCTTCGTCCAAATCTTGCCGGAAAACTCCGCACGTGTGTGCCATACGCGCCGGAACAGATTGCTGTCGGCCATCTCACGAGCTGGCAGGTGAGGGCGTTTGACTCGACGGAAGTTTTGGTGCCCGTTTTGGCCTTTTTCAGATCAGCCACTTGTTGAGCATAGAATTCGTGTGTTCTAATCCATCCTGACGCTCATCAACTCCTGTTTATTGTCATCACTTGTCTCTCGTGTCGTCCTACGCTGCCCATCGCAGCAACTTCATTCATATTCCATCGCAGCCCATTGCTGTTTGTTTGATATGTTGTTGTCCGTGTACTATCTCATCACGAAGGCATGCCTGTTTTCTTACATCGTTGAATCATGTCGCAACTCAATACCATTGCAATCAATATCACTCTAGATGGTCAGTATGGCTTTTCTTGTGGAAATGGTATTGAAGGGTTATGCCTGTTAACTATATATTATAGGCCCAGCCCATATTACTTAAGGCCCTAAGTCAATATATATGTGGCTATCCTCACTTGTGCATATTCATACGTCCAAAACACTAAGGTTTGTAACTCACAGCCTTACACATAAAGATATTTTTTTTTATTTCACCTCCCACACCAATCAAATTGCCGCCTCGAGATCGACTTTCCGGCGAAGTTTCGCCGTCAGAAGCCGCGCGTGTGAGTCACACGCGCCGCCGGAAGTTTCTGCCGTCAATCCCGCGCGCCAGCGCTCGAGGGCGCGCGTGGCTGGCCGGAATTTTTTCCGGCGACCATCCGTGAACTCAGAATTTTGTGCTCGTGCTGCCAGTGTTCTTTGTTTTGTGTTTCGGGAGGTTTTGGTGTTCGTTTTGTGCATTTTTTGATCCGTCATTCTACGGGTTTTTGTACTCTAATCTGTCCCGACCGTCGTCAATTTCTGTTTTTTGTTGTCACTCGCATATCGTGTGCTTCAATGCTGCCCGTCGCAGCGCTTTCATTCATACTTCATAACGGCTCGCTGCTACGTGTTTGTCAAATCATGTCACAACTTCATGGAATTGCTATCAATATTACTCTTGATGGTCAGAATTATCGGGAGTGGCTTTCTCTGTTTCAACAGTGTTGAGGGGTTACGGTTTGGCTTTTCACTTGACTGATGAAGGACTCGAAAGGAAGGCCGATAATAGCAATGCTGCCGAAATCAAAATATGGCAGATCAATGATGGAAAAGTGATGGTTGCCATCGTCAACAATGTCAAGCAGTCCATGATTATGAGTCTTCTTCATTTCGGACAGCCAAAGGGATGTGGTCTTATTTGCAGCAGCGCTATGTTCAGGATAGAGGTGCTCTCTTACAACCATATGCAACAAATTCACGTGATTGAACAGAACTCCATGTCCATTGATGAATACTACTCTGCTTTTGATCGTGATGGGACCATTGATCTCTATGGTACCTCAGTGCTCGGCGGAGGAGTGTTCAGCACATAAATTTGTTGAGAAGATCTTTATTTATCGCTTTGTCATGGGAGTAAGAGCAGAATTTGAGTCCATTCATACACGGTTGCTTCATAACTCCTCTACTCTGACCATGGCACAGGCATTATCTGAATAGATTGCTGAAGAGACTCGTCTCCATTCTCTGTCAGTTGCTCCGCCGTCTGTATCGCAGAGTGTTCTGGCAGCTCCTCAAAGGACATTTTCTCAACGGCTTAGTGCACCCAGAGGTGACTCTCCAGAACCCTGTAAGCATTGTGGGAAGACCGGGCACAGTCACGAGAATTATTTTACTCAGCATCCAGAAAAGTTAGCTGAGTATCATGCGCGTCGTGCTGCTCGGGCTCGTGGTACAACTTCTGCTACAAAGGGGTCTGTTTCCGTCGTTGTTACCTCTCCTGTCCATGCTCCTCAGTCTTGGGTCCTCGATTCTGGAGCATCTTTTCATGTGACATCTGATCACTCCCAGTTGTTGCCTGCAAGGCGGTCCCCGATGGTGATTCTATTCAGACAGCTGATGGCACTTCTTGCCATATCACTCATGAGGGTTCTCTCTGCAATTCTCGTTTTTTAGTGCCTAATATCTCTTATGTTCCTAAATTATCTATGAATCTTCTTTTCGTTGGTCAGGTCACTGATCAAAATTGTTTTGTTGGATTTGATGATTCATCCTGTTTTATTCAGAATCGTCGAAGCGGGGCTGTGATTGGGACTGGCCATCGCCGTAAAGGTTCTTCGAGCCTCTACGTGTTAGACACTTTGCATCTTCCTTCTAGTTCTACTGCTCGTGTGTCATCCATTGCCTCGTCTTCCACATCATCTTTTGCCAAGTGGCATCATCGTCTTGGTCATTTGAGTGTGTCTCGTTTGTCTACTTTGATTAGTACTGGTTGTTTAGGTCGTACATCTATCGAGTCTAGTTTTCATTGTAAGGGTTGCAAGCTCGGAAAAACAGCTGCAACTCCCATATCCTACTAGTATTTCTTATTCTGCTAGACCTTTTGATGTATGGGGTCCGTCCCCTTTTTCTACAAAAGGTGGCAATAAATATTATGTTCTTTTTATTGATGATCATTCTCGATATACTTGGGTTTATTATATGAAACATTGTTCTCAGTTGTGTTCCATTTATAAAGATTTTGTTCGAATGGTTCATACTCAGTTTTCTACCCCTATTCGAGTTTTTCGTTCTGATTCTGGTGGTGAGTATATGTCAAACAATTTTCGTCAATTTTTTACTTCTGAGGGCAGGCACTCTTGCCCAGCTCTCATGTCATGTCTCTGGTGCACATGCTCAGAATGGTGTTGCAGAAAGAAAACACCGCCATCTCATTGAGACTGCTAGAACCCTTCTCTCATTGCCTCATTTGTTCCTTCTCATTTTTGGGGAGAAGATGTGTCTACAGTTGTTTATCTTATTAACCGACCGTCTTCCAAACTGTCTGGTAAGTGTCTTGGTGATGTTCTTTTTGGTATTCCCTCTAGCTATGATCATCTTCGGGTTTTCGGATGTACATGCTATGTATTGCTTGCTTCTCGTGAGCGCACTAAACTGACTGCTCAGTCGGTTGAGTGCGTCTTTTTGGGATAAAGTTCTGAGTATAAAGATTATCGTTGTTATGATTCTTCCGCTCGCCGCATGCGTATATCTCGTGATGTAACTTTTGTCGAGGATCGTCCTTTCTTTTATAACCCATCCATTCCTCCCACAACTTCTTCTTCAGAGTTTACGTCATTTTTATGTCTTCCTCCTATTTCTTTTCTTGATGATGATGTCTCTGTCTCTTCTCCATCTTCCAGCCATGATGAGCCTCCACCACCTAATTTTGATTAGCCTCCACCATATAAACAACCCATCACACAAGTCTATACTCGTCGTTCCAAAGGTCACACAACGCTTCCGCCTCATTCTACTCCATTGGCCAATCCTGATGCTCTCGTCCTAGATGATTCTGATGTGTCACATGCCATTCCTGAAGAATCTGAGGTTGGTCAAAGATATAATTTACGTGATCGTGCTACTATTGTTCCTCCTGATAAGTTGGGTTTTCCACGTGCGGGTGCTATTATTGATGAGCCCTCAACCTATCAGGAAGCTTCGAGTATTCCAGAGTGGCAACTAGCTATGTCAAAGGAACTTGCCCTTGATCGTATTGGCACTTGGGATCTTGTTTCGTTACCGTGGCATGCCGTGCCTATCACCTGTAAGTGGGTCTTTAAGATTAAGACCAAGTCAGATGGTTCCATTGGAGAGATATAAAGCTCGTCTTGTTGCTAGAGGCTTTCAGCAGACTCAGGGGCGAGATTATGATGAGACTTTTGCTCCCGTTGCTCACATGACTACTGTTCGTACTTTAATTGCAATGGCCGCTACTCGTTCCTGGACCATATCTCAGATGGATGTGAAGAATGCTTTCCTTCATGGTGATTTGCATGAGGAAGTTTATATGCAGCCACCACCGTGTGTTGATGCCCCCTCTGGACATGTTTGTCGTCTTCGTCGCGCATTATATGGTCTCAAACAGGCTCCTTGTGCTTGGTTTGAGCGTTTTGTTTCTGTCATACGGGCTGCTGGTTTCTTCCCTAGTGATCATGATCCTGCTTTGTTTATTCATTTCTCTTCAAGTGGGCGTACTCTACTTCTTCTATATGTTGATGATGTTGATTACGGGAGATGATGAAGAGCATATTTCCCATGTTAAGAAGCAACTTGGTCAACAATTTCAGATGTCTGATTTGGGTCCCCTTAGCTATTTTGTTTTTGGGCATTAAGGTGATGCATTCTGTCTCGGGCTATTATCTTTCTCAGTCCAAATACATACAAGACCTTGTTTGTT